GTAGTAGTGGTAGTAGTAATCGTCGTCGTCGCCGTAGTAGTAGTAGAAGAAGTAGTAGTCGTCGTCGGCATTTTGATGGTGGTAGTAGTAGTAGTAGTAGTAGTAGTAGTAGTCGTAGTAGTCGTAGTAGTAGTAGTCGTAGTAGTAGTAGTAGTAGTAGTAGTACTAACTAACTAAAAATAACAATAATTCGTAGCAGCAGTGGTAGCAGCAGTAGTAGTAGAGTATGTCAGGCTAACAATTAAAGATTAGGGTTTATAGGGCCCTGTATAAGCCCGAAGCCCAATTCTCTCAAGTCGAATTTCGAATGCCGAAGCCACTAAAATCCTACTTGGGCTTACAGACCTGAACCCGCCTCATTGCTGACAAGTGGCCCCAGCAACTCAAGTAGCGTACTCGGTTCGGGTTGCACGCGACCTCGAAGAAATCAGTACCTTTGTCTTACCCCGTCGCTTTTCGGGTTTTATGGGGGCTTAGAGGTAGAGGTCATTTCGGGTTGTATTGCCTAGAGCTCTGGGTTTAGAGTGCAGAGCCTTGGAGGCCCGATGTGGAGGCTTGCTGCGGTACGGGTGCTTTACGAAGTGGACACTCAAACTTGTTGCTGGGGTGAGGGTTTCAAGTTTCTGACTGAAGGCTTTCCTGGGTAGTTTGTTGGCACAAGCAATCTTTGTTTTCGACTGCGAGGCTTCGATGTTGTTGCAAACGAGGAATGGACCCGAGAAACCTCAGACCCTACATATGTATATGTATATATACACATAAGAACCCAAACAGCAACGCCAGCCAAAACCTGACAAACCGAATAGCTAGCTAGGGTTTGAAAGAACGGAACGATCGCAAAGGCCCTACACCCTAAACCCTAATTTGACGGATAGTCTGTGGAAACAGTGTGCGATCCGACTTGCTACCGCAGAGGCCCTTCTTGGATCTCCGATCGCTGGGGGGAAAGGGCATCAATGAGGGTCCGGAGTACCCAGTGCTTAGGAATCATGGTAATCTTTCATGGAGTACGTCTCTCATCATTGGATCCTTGGTCCTCTTTTCGCAGGGGATGGAGATGCTGTGATGAACTGTTAGACTTCACAGCCTACACCTAAACCAGCCCTAGTGGGTTGCAATGACTGGCCTCGGCTTTCAAGATGTAAAGCTTAAGCGTCTACCCTGAACTATATGGACCCTAACTTGGGCTCCGTGTGAGATCGCAGCTGCGGGACAGTATATCGAGGGAGCCGTGTCGATGCACCATGCCCCGTGTGAACGCGACCCAGGGCTGAGGAAGGACACAAACCTCAAGATCTAGGGCTCAGGGTTTGTCATCGGGCTGCAAAGGTTTTGGGTTGGCTTGCACAGTGGACTCTAAGCCCTGAGCTCTAAACCTTCGAACTCGTAAGCCTAGAGCCCTAGAACTATAGACCCTCAACCCTCAACTCTAAACCCTTGGGCTTAGGGGGCTTGGGGCTTCAAGGAGTAGAGTGCACAAGGGTTAAGGGTCGATGGGGCCTACCATCTTTGCGAATTTATAGGGATTCTACGATGTCTAATGTGGAAGCCTAACATAAGACGGAGAGTTTGAGGGATTCTACAAAAAAGTATTCTATTGGGGAACCTCGGGGAATAACGTTACCTATCCTGACAGGTATGGAAATTTAGACCGTGTCATCATGGTATACAGGCAAAACCGAAGAATCCGTGCACTACAATCCTGAACCCTAAACCCTTGAAACCGTTCCCGAACCCTAAAGCCCGGGCCCGAAAAGAACCTCGCCTACCCTACAGCCTAAATCCCCAAAGACCCATGCCACGTCGAAACTTGTGAAAAGCATTCAGCTCCCAGAATGGGAGCGAGAGTTGCCTCCGAGGTTGTTCTGCGGCTCCGGGGCGAGGTGTAAGCTGAAGGGTTTGGGGCCCTGTGAACTGAAATTTGATATGAAGCTGACCCGGTTTAGGAGCTGGGGACGGGTTTCCGAAATCCTAGCCAGACTCTGAAGGTAAATCCTGGTATCCAGCCCAGGGACACGTGGGAGGCTCTGCGGCACTTATCCCTCTCGTATCTTGGAAGGTCGGGAGCTTGTGAAAGCTGCAGCGCCCCGTGGTAGCCATCTGCATCCAAGGGTCCACCTGATAAGTGTTGCTGATGTTGTTCCCTTACAGTGACAGTCCCCGCAACATTTTCTGGGTTCTTGCTCAGGAACTTAATGTAAGCCACCATAATAGTGCTCTGTAGAAACACCCAGCTATTTGGTTCACTTGGTTCGTCTACCAAAACATAGAAATTGCCAAGGTACTGCCGGCTTCGCGGCGACCTTTCCCAAAGACCCTCAACTCGGCCTGCTCTTCAGCATTGCCAGCGTTCTCGCCCGGTGACGGAACTTGAGCTTCTGAGACAACCTGACATCAAACTGAAACTGTGCCCTAATCCACAAACATGCCTCGATCTTGAAGATACATGGGCAGCTGTGGTTTTGTGGAATTACCACTGTTGGGTATGACCCCTTTAGTATATAAGGTATGACCCTCAAGAGTGGGCACTTGGAGCCACAGGAATCAGCATGATGGCATAAATTTAAACATTAACTCCCAAAAGCAAGAGGATACATCGTCAGTATACGATCTGTAAACCCGAAACCCAATCCTCATGACAACTCCACGCGCCTCGGCCGTTTTTGCCATCTCTGCTGATGCCTCCTCAGCTTTGGCTAAGCGGGCCTGCAAACAACGCGACGGTGTCGGACTTAAAGCATAATTAAGTGGGATTGAGAGTTTAGGATTTCGAGGGTCCTAAGATTCTGCGATGCACGGTTGTCTAACCTAAACAAAGATGCTGGCTCAGAGGGTGTCTGGAGGAAGTATGCATTCACAAGGATTGGTGGCTGCCTATATTGCGGTCGCGGGCTTCTGAGATGTGAACTGGCTGGTCCACGGTTTTGAAGTTCTGATTCCCCAGAGAAAAGACTGGCCCCGCTCCCCATCCCCCAGACGACTCCAGCAATCTTGTGGCCTTTATGCGCTTCAACTTGTTCTGCACCTTGCCCCGTCCGCCACTTTTGCTGATGACGAAGGAGCCATCGTCCTTCAGCTCTTGCAGCGCCTCCTCCACGGCCTGAACGACATTCGCTAGCTCGGAGCTTTCGGAGGCATCCAACCGAGCGCAGAGGTCATCTGCCGTTGCCACAATGCGTCCATGGACTTTTGGTGACTCCTCTGCAGGCAACTCCTCCACCGGAGCTTCGGCCACATCTGCAGATTCCACGGAAGCCAAACGTTGGGAGTCTTCTTCAGCAGCTTGCTTTGCCCAGGTAGTGAAACTGAAGTGCGAATCGAAGGATCGAAAGTCAGAGGATGAGAGCTGGCGAAGCATGGCCATTTGACGGCCAAGTTGCCTGAGCATCTATCACCATATCGAGAGAATGACGTTCATTGAGCATGCCATAGGTGCTTCTGGCATATGTCTTTGCCCGGAAAAGATGTACCCTGAAGCCTCATACACCAAGAGAACCCCAAACCCTTTCAAACCCGAAGCCCTTACTTTGCCGAGGCAGTTGCGGGTATGGAGCCGACTGAAGCTCGATACCTCAACAAAGTCAAGGTTGATTGGCTTCTTGTTTAGGGTTTAAGGCCTATGTAGGGCCAAATACCGACGTGGTTCTGGCTTCAAGGTGTACGGGTTAGGGCTGCTGGTTACTGTCAGTCTAAAAGTTCAAAGGACGCATACAACCACCAAACCTGTAAGTAAGACTTGACGAATCACCTGGTGAGATATTCAGTGCAACAAAGATAAGGTGCGGTTTCAGCACATGTTTTCCGAGTCCAGAGCCCGGCGCAGCTTCTCCAACAACAAGTTCAAGCATACTACAGGACCCCTTTACTGCCCAACTAAAGAACATCAGAACACATGGAGCCTTACTTTAGAACTGCTCCAGCTCGCGCCATGCTACCGGAGTTCTCGTCCGCCAAGCAGTTCTCCGATAGCCTCGACCATACCCAATCAGCGCGGGACACAAGGCTTAAGCCCCCAATCAGTCGTGTAGAGTCTTACTTTCCAAAGGAGTAGGTCGCGTTGGGTTGAAGTAGGCTTAATTTCAGATCTGGGAATCTTCAATACAAGCCCACCTTCTCTTGAAATTGGCCTAGGAAGGGCTGAAGTGCCGTCGGAGTAGCTTCAGCACTTCTGACAAGGGTGCAGCAAAGGCATAGATGCGGCGGCTGTCGGTGACCACCACTTGGCCGGTTCCCCGGGTGATGTCAATTTCCGATGCTTCAGGGTACCTTGGTACCGACAAGGCACAGAGCCCATCATGCCGGTGTAATGGCCACCGCAACCTACAAGGATTGATGGCTGTGCTGCAAGCAGCAGCGGCAGCGGCAGCCACAGCACCAACAGCAGCACCAGCGGCAGCATCAGCTGATGGTGCCGAAGACAACAGCGACAGTAGCAGCGACATCACGGTGACTGCAATGGTGATGATGATGATGGTGATGATGACGATGATGATGATTATGACGACGACGAGGATGAGGAGGAGGAGGAGGCTGCGGATGAGGATGACACCTACCATCATCAGTCTGCTGAGATGCAGTACGGCAAGAGTACAACCCGGCTTCAATGGCGAGCTCCCTTGCACCAACGGCTCGTCCATCATGATCAGGACTTCTACCTCAAACACGTCTAAGGCTTTGTGTTCAGGCTCTCTTGAGGCTTGCCGAAACTTTGGGGGTACAGGATCTCAGATCTTGAAGCTATGCTCTTTCAGTCTATCTGCATGCTTCTTCCGGACGCACAGTCTCCAGGAGGAAAATACCAAGGCACATCGGACTCTGGGGAGGACTGGTCTGCGAACCTCGTCCGTATTTGGATGCTCCTGAGCTGCCGACATAAAGCTGCATTGAGGAGGGTGCAATTGCTGCCGGAGTCCAGCTGCATTCGAACCTCGCCTGTGCCCTTTTTCAACAACCCCTCCCCTCCACCCACATCAAATCTTCGTGTGACTGGAAGAAGGCTTCTCCTAACCCTAAACCCTCAACTCCGAAGCTCTACCCCCCAATCCCTGAAATCTAAGCTCAGCTATGGCTATTGGCTGCATCCTCACCCGCTGCTGCCATGAAGGAGTGCGCATCTGCACCGCGGGCAGTAGCCACCGACAGTATCTGTGGGAAGAGAGCTTCTTCAAGGCATTTAAGGCTTCTACATGGGTTGATAAGGGCTTCTCGGATATCCGCCACTTGCATTGTCTGTGAGAAGCGGGCTCGTCAGCCGATTTGGGATTAAGCGCATTGGGCTTGATACATTTAGCAAATTGCAAGACACCTCCATAATCCCAAAGTGCCCCCAGGCGAGCCTCTCCCATGAGGCACCAGTGCCGAAATGGGGCAGATGGATCTGAACCTTTTGGGGAAGTCGTATGACCAGAGCTTAGGCTTTGAGATGCTAATGGGCTTGCTTCAGACCCTCCTGCACTCGTTATAGAAGCCCAACCCGAGCCCCTTGACACGAGCCCCCAAGCAGAAAGACACCCTCAGAACCCTGAACCTGGCCCAAACCGTATGTAGAAACCCCTAAACTAAACCCTAACCCCGGGTCGGAGGGGCGGAAGTAGAACTGCGCATTTGGGTCATCCAACTTCTCCGCGAGGGCAAGATGAGCCTGCACTTGGAGGGAAGATGTAAGGTTTAGGTATTAAGGAGTTAAGGCTGTCAGGCTCCAGGGTTCAGGGCTTGTTGAGTTTCTTTCCAGCACCCCGGGTTTTGGTGCGGTTGAAGGTTTAGGGTTCCGGGTCGATCGCCAGGGGCTAACTAAGCCTTGTTCACTGCTTTAGGGTTAAAGGTTAGTATCAGTAAGCCCTAAGCCCTTACTGTAACCCTACAGCCTAAACCTTAAATCTGAAAGCCTAAAGCCTAAACGGCTACCAAGCTCAAGGCCCCGCGACCGGCAGGCACATGAACGGGGGGAAATCGATGTGGTTCAGCAGACCCACTTGTCCACACCTCGGTTTAGGGCTTAGAGTGTAAGGTTTAGCTTAGGGCTCAGGGTTTAGTGTTTCGAGTTTAGGGCTAAGGCTTTAGGGTTTGCGCCGAATTTGGAAATTGGACACATCGTACCCGAACCGCTCCAAGCCCTAAACTCAACAAACCCGCAACTGGTAAACGAAGGGCATGCTTCTAAGTTCGGGATCCTTCTTCTATAGGGAGCCCAATGCACACCTTGCAGGTCTGTCTGAATAGACATTCATGGACCCAGGTGTAAACCCTAAGTCGTAATATCTCGGGTACCACGAAGGATAGAACCTCTAGTATCCTTAAGCCCCCAACATTGATCTGATCATCTCCCCAATTCTAAACCCTGACCCCAAAGCCCTAGTGCTTCGACTTTTGCACCCTTCTAATGACGCTTATTGTAAGAGATCCCCTATTCTACATCTTAGGGCCCCTATTACTTCTAGGGGCCGTCACTTCTAGAGGCGTGACAGGTCAAAGTATGTGTTTTTTTTGATGTTTCTAGCTATTTTGTTTGGGAGCCGTAAGAAAAGTGAGGAGTGATCAGTCAAGCTCCTACTCGTAACCTTCATGACCTTAGGCGGGGCCAGTGAATCCTGCGCCTCGAACCATCGGGAATCCTTCTGACTGTAAACGTTGTGCAAATCCCAGGTGCATTGTTTTTCAAAAGAGCCCCTAAGGAACAGCTGATAAGAACTATTCAGGTTCCTTCTTCAGGCCCTTTGTATTCTGAGCAACACTAAACCGTAGTACTCATGATCTCAGCCCAGACACTCTGCGCTGTTGCCGAGCTCTGTACTGCAGAAACCACACGGGCAAGGCGTTGCCAGATCATACCTGGGGGAGATATGGCTCAGGAATAAGATTCGGGTCATTGCAAGTGAGCCCACAAACAGGAGCGCTGAAGCCACAACAGCCTTCAGACGCTTCAAGGAGTCGTAAACCAAATCAGGGGGTCTCCAAACCCTCAACCCTTCAATGTAATGCCAAGCGAAATCCTTATAAAACCTAAACCGCAGTCCTAGATTCCTAGATTAGTAGATTACACTAGAACTATGCAGGAATTGCAAGGGGCTACCGTTATGACAACTTCATGTACCCTGCTTATGTAACCTAGGGTTCAGGGCTTTGTTCCAGAATGCCGCGGTGTCGCATGCTTACCGGATTCCCGTCGCAGGGGCAAAACTGTAAGAAACTCAACCCGCCCGCCCGGACACAGCCGTCCTCAATTTCAGAAAGTTCAACCCTGTGCGTCCATGGAATCTGGCGGACAAGACACCGATTCTCCGAAGCTGCTTCCCATGCAAGTTTCTGCGGCAACGGCTGCTTCAATGTCGGGCCCACTGCCACTGCTGATATCTCTGAGATTTCAGGAATCCGATCCTTCTTTGAAAGGAACCGCAGTCCAACCTGCTGGATGGGTGTGCTCCATACACCAGCTTGCTGGTGCGTCTCGACATATGCCTCCAGCTTGGCAGAAAGATCGGATGGCGCCCCCTTAGGGAGGAACTGTGCAGGGTCTGTTGTGCCGTCTTCGACGAGATCTGTGATGTTGTTCTTAGCGAAAACACAGCTCTCGACGACAACATTTCCTGCGTAGTTGAAACCCACGTTCAAGCCTATGATGTTCTCCAGGAAACGGCACTGCTTCACTGTGGCATCCGTCCCGCCCTTGATCATCATTCCAATACCCGCAAACCCAGCGGTGAAATTTTGACCTAGGCTGGCCCCAGAAAGCCTGAGAACAATCTTGTTAATCGGATCTTCTTAGGCTAGACTATATGCCCAACAGAAGGAAAGGCAAAATATCCAGTGGCCTACCTAGTTACTCGTCTTCTCCAGAGAGCACCTTATAACCTGCGCTGCACAGCCTTCATCGAAGCTACAGGCCAAACCTCCAGCATTCCTGATCGTGGAATCCGACATCAAAAAAACCAGCCTGCCGTTCCAATCCAGCTCCTCTGCCATCTCTGCTGACATCATTGATATCGAACGACCGGCTTGATGTGCCTCTGCCCGCTGCTTCCATCCCGGTGTTCCTCGCGGATTGTTGTACAGGTGCAGCTCCGTGACATCAAGGTTCTGCTCAAGGATTTTGGTCTCTGCGGTCTTGAGATCGCCAGAAGCATAAACTCCTTCGTTCTGAGTGCGATCGATGAACACGTGCTCAATGCGAACGCTGCGCGCTCCTGCGTATGCCGACACCCCCTGCCTGACACGCTGAAACTGTGTGTGTCGTGCTTCTAGTTGCCCAAGCTCCCTCACTTCGATGGCTTGCCGTGACAGATTGCGGAATTGGCAACTCTCCACTGTGCAACGGCCACTCTGACAAACCAGAACTCCACCTGCGCAGCTGTTCTCAACGGTGCAGTTGACCATCGTGAGCCAAGAGGCAGTACCACTCACCACACATGCAGCGAAACCTTGCCCTTGCACGCTGGTCTGCCCATCTGTTAGTCGAATGTTGCTCATGTGCAAGCGCGCCCCAATATCAAACACATGGCTTGCAGATTTTAAGAAGGTAACATTACCCAAGCCAACCATTGTAACATCGTGCTCCACCCGAAATGCAGGTGGCCAAGCAAGACACGCATAGTCACCAGGGGTCAGACAGATGAACTTCGTAGCCGCACTACCAAGGGCCTGTGCCAAGTGCTGTGATGACCTGACCGCCACTACGCCTCCAGGTGGCGGCACAGGCTTCTCTGACATGCTGGCTATCTCTCCAAGCAAGTCTGTGATTGACTGATCGGCCTGCATCTTATTCAGTGCTGCCGCATTGCAAATATGCTTTACCGCATCCGATACCTTGGTCTGATCCTCAACCATGCCACCCCGGAATGTCGCAAACGCTAGGCGGAAGTGCGCTTTGCCATTGGCCGGCTCTCCTGGTCTCACAGGTCACAGCAAGGAAAAGGCTCGATACCACAGACCTTCATGCTTTGAACGATAGGCATGTATGCCAATACGAGTTACAGGCGAGAATCAAAACCATGAAGAACGAATGTGTGTAGTCGTGTTATGGTGTGTCGTTTTGTGGTATGCGGTTTTGTACCGCGTTTTATAGTTAGGCCATGCTATAACTAATGTGCTGTGTTTCTACGATACTTAGGGCAGCTATGATATGCCATGCTATGCGTTCTTGCTGAGCTCTGTGGTGCTGTGCTGTGCGGCGAAGTGCTGCAGTGATGTTCCGTAATATGTGTGCATGTGTGTATGCGTATACGTGTGCAATTTGGAATGTATGCATGTGTATATATATATATATGTATGCATGTATGTCCGTATGTCTGCATGTCTTTCTGTTGTCCATGCATCTGTACGTCTGCTTGCATGCATGCACGTACGTATGTATGATAGACGGCGGCAGGCAGGCAGGCAGGCAGGCAGGCAGGCAGGCAGGCAGGCAGGCAGGCAGGCAGGCGGGCAGACAGGCAGGCAGGCGGGCAGGCAGGCAGGCACGCAGGCAGGTGGATGGGTACAGACATACGTTCATGCGTGCATGCGTGCATGCATACATAAATACAGGTGCACAATACATACACAATACATACACGCGATACATACACACAGTACAACACATGCATGCATGCATGCATGCATGCTTACATACAGAAGCATGCGTACATACGCACATGTACATACATACATGCATGCATGTATACATCGTGCGTACATGCATATCTTAGTCATTTCACTCGTACATAGTCTTGTCCAGTTCTTGGCAGTTTGCTGTAGCGCAAAGGCACATATGCCAGCTGTAGGGCATTCTCAACTTCGGTCCAGCTTTGCCTGGATCATAGCTTCGCTCGTCTGTTTGGGCTGCTTCGCTGGTTAGTGTGTTTGTGGTCCGTACTCTTGGATTTGTCCTGCCGGCCAGCGCGTGGTATAGCATGTTCCATACCAAGTCATTGAACTGACCCCTGTGGGGGTCTAAATGAATGAATGCATGGAAAGATTAACGAACGAATGACTGCATGGATGAATGAAGGAATGAACCGGAGAAAACATAACTAAATCAGTTAGTGGATGAGTGAATGAGCGAACGACTGAATGAATGAACGAACTGGGATTGTTGTGGTTGCTGTTGCTGCTGCGGTTTCTGCTGTTGGTGTTGTTGCTCATAATGCTTCTGTTGTTCTTCTTTTGCTTGTTATTGTTACTGTTCTTGTTCGATTCGATGTATGTGAACACGACTTGTCTCAAGAACAGGAGTTCCCATCTTACGTCATCCGATGTGCGCCGGTCCCCGCCCCCAATCCTTGACAGTTAGACTTCGTCGCACTGCGGGAATTCGGGCTTCAGGGCTTTCGGGGCGTCTGCCTTCAGGGCGTCAGGGTTTCGGGCCTGTTAGGTCTAGAGTTGAGGATTTATTGCACCTGAAGACATGTCCGGACAGCTTCGACCAGCAGCCTTTCATGTGCTTGCCAGTTTCTCCTGTTATGGGCCGTCTCAAGCCTCCGCTACACCTTTCAGCTTACCGCTCAGAGTTCAGACAAAAGTTGAGGACTCATTTTGGAACGGCTCTCTGTCCGCCTGCCTGCATGTTTGGGAGGTGTGCGCTTGGGCTTTCAAATTTCTTATCTTCATACGAGCAAAGGCATGTCGGCACCAAGCTCCAGTTCTGTATCATGGCGACTTGACTCGTGCGAGACCTGGTCAAGTCAAGACCGCGGGCTCTTACGAATAGACCATACTACCATGGAGTGTGTACTAGACGCACTTGTTGGTTCTTAAATTAAACCTATTGAACAATACTACAGTAAGGTGTAGGTATCACGCATACACATGCATGCATGTGTGCAAGAATGCATCAATACTTCAACCGCGACCATGATTGCAATACAGCTGGTTGCCAAATCAAACTCCAGGGCCTCGTAGTTTGTGAGTTTACGATGCTCGCATCAGCGTCATCTGTGTTTCTCGGAGAGAGAAGCAGGGGTTCACAACGGGTATAGGGTGGCACGAGCTTCCTGCCTTGCAGCATGTGGAATCTTTAGGAACTATACGTGGCACATTTAGCGAAGATGTCCCTACACGTCTTAAGCGTCCCGCATGCCACATGCTGCGACCCCTGAAGCCAATACAATTCGCCTTGCTCTTGCTGCATACATGCATGTCGGTGAAGACGAAAACTGACAAATCAGCAAAACTGAACACGGGAAGGGACCAGAATCCAGACCCTTGCGCCCTGCAGCCTAGAGTCGTTCCACTGCCGCCAGTGAGTCTGCACGGGCTTCATCCCACCGCTCCAACTTGCTGAAACAGAGCGACCTGTTGCACAAACACTTCACCTTCTCAGAAGCAGCCTCGTCAGTTTTGATGATCGACAGTTTCCCGATGACCTCGCCATAACCTTCAATTGCGGCAAGGTAGTCACGTCGTGCAAAGGCCTCATTGGCTTGTGCCTTTGCGGGAAGGATGTCCTGCAACGAAGTCTCGGCCACATGGCGCAAGTTGGCAGGCCGAACTTTGACAACTTCTACAGATCCGGTGGTGCAGGAAACCTCCACGGAAATGCGCTCGACGTCTGTAGGATCTTGCTCATCCGCAACCACTCCAACCTTGCCGTTGAGTTGCCCACCACGTTTCGATGTGAGGCCATGCAGCTCCACCGTTGTACCGGGCTGAAAGTCTCCCAGTAAGTCATGCACATCCACCGGCTCTCGTTCGCCATGCTCGCGCTCTTCGGATGGTCCTCCGGCACCCGCAGACTGCCGCGCGGAAATACGCGCGTCCAAACGGGGAAGAAGTCGCTGTCCCGGAAAGAAAATTTGGATCTCCTGAGAGCTTCTTTCGGAATAGATTAGGCAGTTCGGAGTCGGGATGCAGCGATCTCATCCCTAGGCCCTAGACCCTGTGCAACCGGAGACAGGAAAAGCTTCGTCTCACGACACTTCGACCACGCGAGGGTCGCCAAGACGGTGGAGACGGTAGAAAGACATCCCTACTTGTGCACCCCATGCAACCAGGAGAGCGAATTTGAAGCACCTGGCCTAGGGCCGACATCAGCTGCCTCCGAGGACAAACAAACAGTCGCGATCTGCGAAAACAATTTTAGGTTTAGGGTTTAGGGCCTTTAACCTGGTGGCAGCTGTGAAGTATGTGCGAAAGATTCCCCGTTTTGGACCTCCGGGAAAATCCTTGGAATGACTTCGAGACTCGAAACAGGTTTCCATCTTTAACATCACCTTGTCGTCGTCTTCACTATGGCATCCACATCATCAACCTCGCCCTCCTCCAAGCCCTCATGCTCAGCAGCAGCCGCAACAAAGCCACCACTGGAAACGGGCCTCATTGACTGGAGACACGAAAGGTCACCAATACAAAGCTCTTGATGTATGGTTGAGATGGTGTGGCATGAAAGGCTGTTCACCAGTTATAATGAAATTACGAGCAAAACCAGCGCCAGTAGGTCGGTTTGGCTGTTGTTGCTGCTGCTGCTGTTGCTGTCGCGGTGGCTGCTGCTGCTGTTGTTGTTGCTGCTTCTG